CAAAAGGAAAAAATAATTGGGTGAATTAAATTCACCCACATTGTGAATTTGTCCCCAAATGTCTGCGCCCTAGCGTTCCCCTCCCCCTACTGGTGTCATAGTGGTGAGTGTGCCTGTATCCTAGAGAAAGCCACACTGCACCATTGTCAGGCTGTCTTTAGTGAAAGGTCTATTGAACTCTGAGTTCCATTCATCCGAGCCCCCTTGGAGGCGGCCTTGCTGTCTGTGGAACCTGCAGTAGGACCTGCTGCCTTCGATGGAGATGACCGCCGCCCCTTGCCTGGGGCTGGGCCTGTATGCGCCACAATCTCAGCTAAAACATTATTTGGCACCACTTTTTTTTTTTCCTTTGCTTATTTTCAAATAAAATTCAGAAAACCACACAGAACAATATTAAACATTGTATTTCCATCACCCCAGAGTAACGCTGGTCATTTCAAGTAACTGTGGCTCGCATCCTGCATCCATGTGGAGGCCACAGACTCAGTTTGAGTTTCACCTCTTCCAAATTTTGGGGTCCCAGTGGTACTCACTCTGTCACATCACTCACACAGACACTGAAACCACCTGTGCGTAGCTCGAGCTTTCCCGTTGAAACTTGAAGCTCTTCCGGGGTGAGGAGTTGCTCTTTCATCTATCTACAGGGTCTGGGGAAGGACTGCCAGTGATAGGTGCTCAAGAAATGTGGAAATTGAACTGAAGCCAGGGTGAAAGGCAGAGGAGAGGAGACTGTGAATGGGGTGTGTGGGGTAGGGAAAGAATCCTAGAGAGCTTGCAGTCAAGGTGAGTCTACCTGGAATTGGGTCTGACAGTTGGTAGCACCTCGAGGGCTTGAGAGATGAGCCATGTTTGAAATAAGTCAGTCAAAGAAATTTTAGCTTGTGGGCCAGGCGCGGTGGCTCACGCCTCTAATCCTGGCACTTTGGGAGGCCGAGGTGGGTGGATCACCTGATGTCAGGAGTTCAAGACCAGCCTGGCCATCATGGTCAAACTCCACCTTTTAAAAAAAAAAAAAGAAAAGAAAAAAAATTTTAGCTCATGCTCAGCTCACGTGATGCTTGATGTTAATTCAGTTCAGTTCTAAAGATTGCAGGCCTTCATCTCTTATTTCCAAAGAGGTGACTGTAGAGACCTGTGCATGTTTAGACCTGCTGCACTAGCTAAGGAACAGCATGCAGAATTGGCAGGACACAGTGGCTCATAACTGTCATCCCAGCACTTTGGGAGGCCAAGGCAGGCAGATCACTTGAGGTCAGGAGTTCGAGACTAGTCTGGCCAACATGGTGAAACCCCATCTGTACCAAAAATACAAAAAACAGCTAGGCATGGTGACGTGCAACTGTAATTCCAGCTACTCAGGATCCCAAGGCGGGAGAATTGCTTGAACCTGGGAGGTGGAGGTTGCAGTGAGCTGAGATCACATCACTGTACTGCAACCTGGTGACAGACCAAGACTCTGTCTCAAAAAAATAAAATAGGCCGGAGGTGGTGGCTCAGGCCTGTAATCCCAGCACTCTGGGAGGCCGAGGTGGGAGGATCACCTGAGGTCAGGAGTTCGAGACCACCCTGGCCAACATGGTGAAATCCCATCTGTACTAAAAATATAAGAATTAGCGGGGGATGGTGGCAGGCTCCTGTAATCCCAGCTACTTGGGAGGCTGAGACAGGAGAATCACTTGAATCTAGGAGGTGGAGGTTGCAGTGAGCTGAGATTACACCATTGTACTGTGACCTAGGTAACAAGAGCGAGACTCAGTCTCAAAAAAAAAGCATGAAGAATTACCAGGGCTGCATGATTCATAAATGGATATGGAAGTCAGGTGGCCTTATGGCCACTATCAATGCACCTCACCTAAAACCTTGTGAAGCCTCTTTTTGCTGAAACAAGGTCTTACTTTTTCGCCCAGGCTGGTGTATAGTAATGCAGTCATGGCTCTGCAGCTTTGACCATCCTCCAGCCTCAGCTTCCCAAGTAGCTGGGACTACAGGTACGTGCCACCATACCCAGCTAATTTTTGTAATTTTTTTGTTTTTTGTTTTTTGTTTTTTTGAGACGAAGTTTCGCTGTTGTTACCCAGACTGGAGTGCAATGGCGCGATCTCGGCTCACCGCAACCTCCGCCTCCTGGGTTCAGGCAATTCTCCTGCCTCAGCCTCCCTAGTAGCTGGGACTACAGGTGTGCACCACCATGCCCAGCTAATTTTTGTATTTTTAGTAGAGACGGGGTTTCACCATGTTGACCAGGATGGTCTTGATCTCTTGACCTCATGATCCACCCGCCTCGGCCTCCCAAAGTGCTGGGATTATAGGCATGAGCCACAGCGCCCGGCCTAATTTTTGTGTTTTTTGTAGAGATGGGGTCTCCCCATAGCTGGGATTACAGGTGTGCACCACCACACTCAGCTAATTTTTTTGTATTTTTAGTAGAGATGGAGTTTTTCCTTATTGGTCAGGCTGGTCTCAAATTCCTGGGCTCAAGCAATCCTCCCACCTCAGCCTCCCAAAGTGCTGGGATTGCAGTTACCAGCTACTGCTCCTGGACAGCTCTTTCTAATTTAAGCTTGGTTATTGGTAGTTTTTTTAAAATAATTTTTCTCGGTCGGGCGTGGTGGCTGATGCCTGTATTCCCAGCACTTAGGAAGGTCAAGGCAGGTGGATCACCTGAGGTCAGGAGTTTGAGACCAGCCTTACCAATATGGAGAAACTCCATCTCTACTAAAAATACAGAAAAAAAATTAGCTGGGCATGGTGGCGCATGCCTGTAATCCCAGCTACTCAGGAGGCTGAGGCAGGAGAATTGCCTGAACCCAGGAGGCAGAGGTAGTGGTGATCTGAGATCGCGCCATTGCACTCCAGCCTGAGTAACAAGAGCAAAACTCCGTCTCAAAAAAAAAAAGAAAAGAAAAAAGGAAAATTAACTGGGCGTGGTGGCGCGTGCCTGTAATCCCAGCTACTCAGGGGGCTGAAGTAAGAGAATCACTTGAACCCGCGAGGCAGAGGTTGTAGTGAGCCAAGATTGCATCATTGCACTCCAGTCTGGGCAACAAGAGCAAAACTCTGTCTCAAAAAATAATAAGAATTTTCTCAAATGCACCTGGTTTTTTTTCCCTCGCTACCCAAATCCTCCAGGAAATGTCAGCTGCTGACAGGAAGCTTAGCATCCGCCTCCCTCAGCCTCCTGAGTGGACAAGGACCCTGGGCGCCACTTCTGAGATCTGCCAGCACATGCTGGCTTCTGTGGTAGAGTGGCCAGCCCATGGGTCTCTGCAGGCGGAGACTGGGAAGCGCTCTGCCTTCCTGCTTTATAGCAGCAGATCTGAGACCTCCATTCATATCCCATCACAAGGAGCTCTCAGCGCTCTTTCTAGCACTTTTGAGGAGACAGAAACATTTTGCATATCCTGTTATTTTTGTTAATCAACTGTGAGCAGTCAGTGTTTGGAAAGCTTTCCAGTGAGATCTAACCTGAAATCAAACTCATTTGTGTGGCGTTGGGCCCTGTAATTCCAAGTACAGTCATTCTTTGTACCCTTGGGGAGGTGGTTCCAGGACCCCCAGGATAACAAACTCTGTAGATGTGTTCGTCCTTGTTATGAAGTGGTGTGGTGTGGTGTTGCATATAAGCTATGCTTTCAATCATTTCTAGATTACACGTAATGCCTAATACTATGCAAACAGTTATTATACTGTATTACCTAGGGAATTATGATAGGAAAAAAGTTTGTACGTGTTCAGTACAGATGCAACCATTCTTTTATTCTTGACATGTTGATGTGAGGTTGGTTGAATCCATGGAAGCAGAGCCCGTGGATCCAGAGGGCTGACTTTGCTTCTAAACGTCTGGGATCACAGACAGCCCCACTGCTAAGGACTAGTGAAACAGCATGAGCCACTCACTGGTTTAAAACTCAATTTCATTAGGCCTCTTTCTCAAATGCATTTAAAAAGTCTTTCCAGTTGTTCTGAATTCAGCATTTCGCTGGTTTGCTAATGTAGACTATGCTTTGGGAATAGAGCTATGTGGCAATTGTTTATTAGTTCTTAAGTTTTTACAATAAGGGCTGGACATAGAAGCTCACGCCTGTAATCCCTACACTTTGGGAGGCCAAGACAGGTGGATCACCTGAGGTCAGGAGTTCGAGACCAGCCTGACCAACATGGGGAAACCCCATCTCTGCTAAAAATACAAAATTAGCCGGGCATGGTAGTGTCTGCCTGTAATCCCAGCTACTTGGAAGGCAGAGGCAGGAGAATGGCTTGAACCTGGGAGGCAGAGGTTGTGGTGAGCTGAGATCACATTATCGCACTCCAGCCTGGGCAACAAGAGCAAGACTCTGTCTCAAAAAATAAAAATAAAAAAATTAGCCGGGCGTGGTGGCGGATACCTGTAATTCCAGCTACTTGGGAGGCTGAGGCAGGAGTACCCAGTAGTCAGAGGTTGCAGTGAGCTGAGATCACGCCATTGCACTCTAGCCTGGGCGACAAGAGCAAAACTCCCTCTCAAAAAAAAAAAAAAGGCCGGGTGCGGTGGCTCACACCTATAATCCCAGCACTTTGGGAGGCCAAGGCGGGTGGATCACGAGGTCAAGAGATCGAGACCATCCTGGTCAACAAGATGAAACCCCGTCTCTACTAAAAATACAAAAATTAGCTGGGCATGGTGGTGCGCGCCTGTAGTCCCAGCTACTCGGGAGGCTGAGGCAGGAGAATTGCTTGAACCCAGGAGGCGGAGGTTGCGGGTAACAACAGTGAAACTCCGTCTCAAAAAAAAAAAAAAAAAAAAGTGATTCAAGGTTCTGCTCTACTTCTGAAGTGTCTAGTTTAAAACTTTGACTAGTAAATGGCAGTTTCCCAAAGCGCAGGACTTCAGCATCTTGCCATGTGTGTGTGAGCAGTGGGAACACTGCGTTCCTCGCAGGTGTTTCATTAAAACCAATACTGGTAGAATGCCAGTGTATTTTAGAGGTGCCATTTATTCCATACATGTTGACCTTTACAAAATATATGTGGAAGGCTTCACGAATTTGCATGTCTCCCATGCACGGGCCGGGCTAATCGTCTCTGATTCATTCCAACTTCAGTGTATGTGCCGCTGAAGCGAACACCACACAGGCTGATCTAAAATGAACTGTGGGGCTAGTAGGTGTGTTCTTTGGTCTTCCCCCCATTCCACCAGGCTTCAGGACCAGGGGTGGCCAGCCCAGTGTGTACTCCCAGAACTCACCAGATTGACGTTGGTGGCACTTCCTCTGGTCTAGGCCAACACCAGCCAGTAGAGATATGGGCCACAGATAGAACTTTAAATGTTCTAGTATTGACATTTTTAAAGTAGTAAGAGAAATTAATTGTAATAGACTTACTCAACCTGGTATATACAAAATATGGCTTGAACATGTGATCTGCAGAAGACGTGATTTCCGTGGTGTGTGGAAACGAGGCAGAAACACAGAGATGTTTTGCCTTCACTTCTGCTGAGCCTGCAAGATCTGATGTCTGGTTGGGTTGACGGTGCATCTCAGTCCACACCAGCCTTGTCTGTGTGTTCAATGGTCACGTGGCCAGGGGCCCCATATTGAAGTGCCCAGGTCTAGCCCTTTAGGTTAAGCATGTGCTGGGGGTAAATGGTGGATGCCTCCTCATTCCTTAAGAGGGGCAGTAGAACATGGTCCAGGTGTCCTGGGTTTTTGTTTTGTTTTGTTTTTTGTTTTTAGATGGGAGAGTCGCTGTCGCCCAGAGCACATCCTTTACCCAGGCTGAAGTGCAGTCATGCCATCTTGGCTCACAGCAACCTCAGCCTCCCAAGTACCTGGGATTACAGGTGTGCACCACCATGCCTGGCTACCTTTGGTATTTTTAGTAGAGATGGGGTTTCACCATGTGGCACAGGCTGGTCTTGAACTCCTGACCTCGGGTGATTGGCCTGCCTCAGCCTCCCAAAGTGGTGGGATTACAGGTGCTGCCTGGGTTTGAAATTTTGCCTTTACTACTTTTATGCAGCTTTTGACAAATTTACTTCATTTCTCTTTATCTGAGATGTATCATGGGTGCAAATAATCCTTCCCTATAGGGTGGCTGTGGGGTTAAGTGAATGTAATCTGCTTGTAAAGTGCTTAGACTGGTATCTGGACAAAGGTGAGCACAACACTAATAGTATATCTGAATGTGTCTACAGCGCTAACCACTGCTCATACCAATTACAATTAGTATGGAATCTACTAAATGTGGCTTCATTTCCTCTTAGGGAGCCTTTAATTTTACTTACGAGAGGTCATAGGAATAATTTCAAGTATAGAAGTTTCTAGAGATTTTTGGCATAACCACGACACATAAAGAATACTTTTAAGGGAACCTTAAGAGCAGTAGAGGAAGTCTGGCATCTGTAAACGAGTCACACCGTTAAATGATGATGCTGTGTGATTTCTTACTAGACGTTAAGAAAACATTTTCCTGGGCGTGACGGTTGATACTGTAACCGCAGCACTTTGGGAGGCCAAGGCGGGCAAATCACTTGAGCTTAAGGAGTTTGAGACCAATCTGACCAACATGGCAAAACCCCACCTCTACCAAAAATACAAACAATTAGAAGGGTGTTGTGGTGGTGGTGGGCACCTGTAATCCCAGCTACTCAGGAGGCAGAGGTGGGAGGATCCCTTGAGCCTGGGAGGCAGAGGTTGCAGTGAGCCAAGATAATGTCAGTGTACTCCAGCCTGGGTGACGGATTGAGACCCTGTCTCTAAAAAGAAAAAACAGACAACTTTTACCCTGTCTAATTATGCCAAAATGCTTGCACAGTGGCAAACTTCCAGGTCATTCATCAGTAATCAGCGTGTACTCTGTGTTGTAGGGCCATGAAGCCCCCAGGAGGAGAATCGAGCAATCTTTTTGGAAGTCCAGAAGAAGCTACTCCTTCCAGCAAGCCTAATAGGATGGCATCTAATATTTTTGGACCAACAGAAGAACCAAAGAACTTACCCAAGAGGACAAATCCCCCAGGTATGGGCCTTCGGAAATTCCTAATCCTTCGGCTCTACCTGCTCTTGTTTGAAAATACTTTGTTTCTTTATACTGATCCTTTCCCATATATTCTGATTCAGGTAATCACTTGTCATCAGAGTTCTTCCAAAATGAAAATGTTCTTACTTCTACTTTGTCTTGGAGGTGGCTTGAGCTGTCTTGAATTCTCCATTTATTCTGGAGACTTTGGTTGAATACAGGCATTGAGGATACAAAGGTAGATGGAGTCTTCTGGTTCCTGTCAGGGAGCTGCTCCCAGATGTTCCACCGACCCCCTTGAGATTCCTGAAATTACGTGCAAATTATCGTGGATGCAATAAACGTTTTTCTTAGGGAGGGAGAGTTTTTAATCAGATCATCAGTGGAATTGAAACTCTTCACAAGGAAGAATGGATCTAGCACACATCTACGTGGTTCTTCGGTATTTACCTGACTTCCTAGTGCTTACAGTGGGAGGGACTCTTTGGCCCAGAGACTGCCCAGTTAAACAACTGCACCGTGGGGGTCACCTGGGTAGCTTTGCCCTGTCTGTCCAGGAGGGGAAGCGTGGTGTCTTCCATCCTCAGAAGGTTTGAGAGGCCATGCTCAGGTGTCAGTGTGTCAGGCAGGTCGTGAAGCAGAGCCAGATCCACTCCCCACCTCACCTCGTTTTGGGGTACCAATATTTCTTGACCAAATGTGGAAGAAAAAAAGCAGTAGATCCAGAAGTTAGTTTTTTCTTTTGTTTTTTTTGTTTCTTTTGACACAGGGTCTCACTTTGTCACCCAGGCTGGAGTGCAGTGGCAGCATCATGACTCACTGCAGCCTTGACTTCCCAGGCTCAGGTGATCCTTTTTCCTCAGCCTCCTGAGTAGCTGGGATTACAGGCATAGGCCAACGCACTTACCTCTTTTTTTTTTTTTTTTTTTGTGGAGACAGGGTTTAACTGTGTTGCCTACGCTGGTCTCAAACTCCTGGGCTCAAGCCGTCTGCCCACCTCAGCCTCTCAAATTGCTGAGATTACACACGTCACCCCTGTGCTCAGGGGAAGCTAGGTTTGCTGCTTTTTTCTTGGTCCATTTGGTTGCTTTTTGGATATAGTTAAAGAAGTGTTTTGGCCGGGGTGGCTCACGCCTGTAATCCCAGCACTTTGGGAGGCCGAGGCGGGTGGATCACGAGGTCAAGAGATCGAGAACATCCTGGTCGACATGGTGAAACCCCGTCTCTACTAAAAATACAAAAATTAGCTGGGCGCGGTGGCTCACGCCTGTAATCCCAGCACTTTGGGAGGCCGAGGCGGGTGGATCACGAGGTCAAGAGATCGAGAACATCCTGGTCGACATGGTGAAACCCCGTCTCTACTAAAAATACAAAAATTAGCTGGGCACGGTGGCGCGTGCCTGTAATCCCAGCTACTCGGGAGGCTGAGGCAGGAGAATTGCCTGAACCCAGGAGGCGGAGGTTGCGGTGAGCCGAGATCGCGCCATTGCACTCCAGCCTGGGTAACAAGAGCGAAACTCCGTCTCACAAAGAAAAAGAAAAGAGAAGTGAGTGTTTCTTATTGAGGGACTCACATTCTCACTGTTTCCAGTGGACGAGCTTCGGGCGGGCACTCCTGCCTGTTCTCTGTAGCAAGGATGCAGGCAAGATAGAGAGTCAAATCTGAGGCGCTTCCAGGCGTATGAGTCTGCTTGGGAGGCAGGCAGTACCACCTTGCCCGTCCCACAGTCTGATGCCCAGTGGGGAGCCCAGCCCCTTGCAGCTGGCGAGCCAGCCTCCGCTCCCAGACACAGTGTGTGGTGCCAGCCCTCATGACTCCGCATGCCAGGTTCCTACTTCTTGTGGTCCTTCTCACGGTTGTTTGGAGTTTCTCTGTCCCTCCAAGCACTCTTTGAAAACAGTTAATGGAGCCGGGTGCGACTGCTCATGCCTGTAATCCCAACACTTTGGGAGGCTGAGGCAGGCAGATCACGAGGTCAGGAGATGGAGACCATCCTGATCAACAGGGTGAAACCCTGTCTCTACTAAAAGTACAAAAAAATTAGCTGGGTGTGGTGGCACAAGCCTGTAGTCCCAGCTACTGGGGAGGCTGAGGCAGGAGAATTGCCTGAACCCAGGAGGTGGAGATTGCAGTGAGACAACATCACACCACTGCGCTCCAGCCTGGGTGACAGTTCGAGACTCTGTCTCAACAAAAAGAAAGAAAGCAGTTTATGATGTATTGTGAAGGGAAGCCTGAAAGGGACAAGATCTGGTGTCCTGCACTCCTACATTTATCACACGGACTCAGCCCCGCAGCCCTCTAGATGCAAGGCCTGATTGAGAAAGGTGTGCAGAGGCCAAGAGTGTGTGTGACTGACCACATCACAGCCATCGAGCGCTTACCGATGCCCAGTGTTGCGTCTGATCCTCAGGAGTCTCTGTGTTATTTGTTAGTCGCCTGGTTTAGATCTTTGATGAATTGTTTTCCCTCTTCTAGCAATGATGACCGATGTCTGTGCGTTGTTAATATTTACCAGGGGCTGTGCTAAGTGCTTTGCATGTGTATTTTTCATTTGGTCTTCACTGTGACTTGAGGAGTAGATGTCATTGCCCCTTTCACAAAGGAGGAAACTGAGGCTCGGAAAAGGTCACTGGCATGCATAAATCCCCTGCTAGCTAGTGGCAGAGCTAGCCTTTGAATCGGGGTTTTTCTGACTCCAGATTCCATGCCTTAAACTGACCTCCTGAATGTATCCGCTGGGATAAATTTCTCAAAATGAAATTGCTGGATCAGATGGTATATGAGTTTTAAAATATGAATAGATGTTTCCAACTGGTTTTTCAAGGCATTGCCCGGTGTTTACCCATCTTGTATATGCACTTACTGGCACCAACAGTATTTCTCTTTTAGTTTTGCTTTTAAAAACAAATCTTGGCTGTGTGCATTAGTTCACACCTGTAATCCCGGCACTTTGAAGGCCAAGGCAGGTGGATCACGAGGTCAGGAGACCAGCGTGACCAATGTGGTGAAACCCTGTCTCTACTAAAACTACAAAAATTCGCCGGACATGGTGGCGTGTGCATGTAACTCCAGCTAGTCGGGAGGCTGAGGCAGGAGAATCGCTTGTAG